GTATGAAAGCGAATTTCCTCTACGTGTACGTGTATTTGCATTAAATTATTTCCTGTGATTGAATGGTATCAATGATAAACATTCTTACCACACGATTTGTTAAATCTAGTTAAACAAAATACACGTTTGAATAGTATTAATAAGAAAAGATGATTGATATTATCAAGTTAAAAAAATCAGCAAAATTTAAAACTTCATGGTAATTCCATGTGTATGTTACGCAAAATATTTGGATAGTTATTAAATTAATAACAAACCATTTGAAATCTGCAATTAGTGAACCTTTAATTCACCAACAATATTCGTAAGTATCAGTGCATGAACATTGAGCATACTTATTAAACTTTTAAGTGGGTGCAGTTTTCCCAATCACTCCCTTAAATGATGGCTATGGGTTTTATTTCATATTAACGTAAATTTAACACATTTTTTGAAACTATTATATATTTGACGAATAAAAGAAAATGGTGAATATAATGCGAATACACGAGTTAGAGTAGTTTAAGGATCTTGTTATATAATATTATTTAACTGTTTTGGAAGCCAAAAATAAATTTTTTGGGATCGAATTTAAGAATCGATTTTATATCTATTTGAAATTGAATTGAGAGCCTAATCCAATGGTTCAGAAGGGAAAAACATTTTTTTATCTGCACATATGAAGTTTCTGCAGTGAATAACCTCATCAGGTCCTGTTTTTTTTTTTAATTTACCCTCAAAATTAATCAAATAATGTTAAGGTACATACTGAGTATACTTACATAATTAAAAACAAGTAGTTATGACAACGAATGAGTATACTCATATTTTTAATGAGTAAAATCGCATTTTAAATGTATAGATTATTTAAGAAACCTCCTGAGTAGAGATAAGAAAATAATCAATAAAACAAATTACACTTATACAACAGTGTATAGTGGATTTCTGCGGTAAATGAACCATATCCCATATAAAAGAAGCTATTGAACTGGTTCTCAATAGGAGTTCCGTTATTGTAAACCGTTGTGTGCTTACCTCAAAATTAACTATTAAAATCGAAATAGTCGATTTTATATTTTTGGCGTTTAACGGGTTTCTGACATAAACGATTCAATTACGCGTATACCTATAATAACCGCGCGGTGGTGGTGTACTTCGTAAAGGGTGGCAAACTTGATTATCAACGACATGAATAACAAGCCGACCACCACCAGTCACCGCCGCCGCCAATCATAGGGCTGCTATACCGCACTAACACTATTATTATAGTAAAGTATACACTCTTTATCGTATCTTAATGGAAATACGGAAAGTTTCTGTAATAATTTGCGAAAGTTGTTTTTAACATTATTATTTTACGTCAAAACTTTCGGTCAAAACTTCTCGGCCACCGTTGCGCCTTTAGAAGAGTCCTGCAACACGCACCACCACCGTCTTTTATATACGATGTATTATATTATAATATAATCCGGTGTAATAATTTAACGAAACGGCGCGTAAAATATTTAACAACACGTTTCGACATTGTATAAGATGGATGGACGCTGCCACTATACGTATATAGGTATACCTAGTGGTTCTGTACGTATAGAACATCAGTAGAAAATATTACAAGTAAAACGAACTACCGTTTATCAGTTGAACCCACAGGGAATTACAGGCCGTATCCTGATGACAAGAATTTTTGGTATAGTGGCAGTAGCAGCTGGTGACGCGTAATATAGTGCCTATATATACAACTTTGGATCTAAAGAAGAAGGGCTCAAGTCAATTTTATATAGTTTTCAATACAAGAAAAATTAAATTTTTAAAAATGTGTAATGGCATAATGATTAATGGCATACTTGCTAAATGGCTAAATTGCTGTCACAATTTAATTTTGTGACTTATGCTTTTTTGTGAAATAACAAGTGACATAAAGGTATTTTGATTTTTATTATAACATGTGTTATACGACATACACTTTTACCATTAAGAATCAAAAATAAAGAGGAAAAAAAATTTTACCCGACAAAATTGACTTGAGCCCTTCTTCACAGGGATCAAATATATAGTTTTTATATTCTTTACACATAAGATTGTATTTTGACTATATATATACACAGATACGAAAATTCGGAGAAAGAAAAGAATTATTTGATTGTATACAATATGTGGTTTATCTATATACATAATTTTTTTAATAATATTCACACGCACAAAAATCTGTCTCTGTCTCGCTATTCAACATCGTGAATTCGTGATTAGTTAGCGATTCTGCTCGTTTATTTATACCATTGTCGTTGGCCAGGTGTTATTCTTATAAAAAAAAATAATAATAATAATACATTGTTTTTATTATACAATAATATTGCAACGACTCGTATTTTGTTTGATGACCACAAAAAATACGCTTATAAAATGTGTACATTATACATTATGTACGTATCATACCATATAAATCGTTGTACATTTTTTTGTAAAACAAGACGATACAATGTTATCTGATTATGACCTATTTTTTTATTTTTGATTTCAAAATTAATCAAAAGAGTTTATTGATATTTTTCAAATGTTTACATACTTGGGTGTTTTATACATTGTTTCAATTGGAGTTTTTATTCAGTTATAAAAACGTATTTTGGATTTTTATGAAATATAAAATTACACTTTACACTGATCCCTTCCCTCGTAAGTATAATATTATATACTTATATTTTATTTGTTTTTTCTTTACATTGTTTTATATTCATAAATATTTGTACAATATAAAATAATAAGATAGTAAAGATGATATTTATGTTACGACGATAGCTGATGATGAATAGCTATTTTACCCCTGACAATTGGGATTTATACGCTGGGTTCCTAATCAGAGGTCTTTTTTTTTTTCAAGTGAATTTATACTTAAAGTATATTATATACATTTAAAATTGTAGGAAAATAACGTGAAAGCTAAGCATAGAATCAATACATCGGATTTTTGTTAAGAAGTTTAAAAACAACCAGCTGTCCTACCCGGAATCGCCTATGTGTGGTTTAAACGTAAAATAGTTTAAATTGTATCACGCATTTGATAAACCAAGATTTATTCAAAAAATGATTTAAAAAAAAAAACTAAATTCTGAATATATTAATAATTCTTAATAATAATAATAATAATTATTAATATATTAATAATAAATATATATAATAATTCAGAATTATTTTGTATCATAATTTAGTTGTTTTTTTTTAACACGTGTTTTTACTTAACTGACTAATAATATTCAGGAATGATTATTTTAAGCCCTTAGTATAAACCATACTGGGAGTTTTATTTTCTGATGCACGTATGTAATTATCTGTGTGAGAAATAGAGACATAGTCACTTTTTAAATCTATGTCACAATGCGCTAAAGTTTAACCTTTCGCTTTATTTATGGTCATTTTAACACTAAATTTTTATTGGAAATTGAACCCTTCGAAATTGTATCAGAAAATAGTTGGGAGGGAAATAATAGTATTTTTGGTTTTTACTTAATATTTATTCCACGAAAACCCGCAGAGTTCAAATACAGATTTGTTTATATAAAATACATAATTTATTTATATAAACTAATTCTTTTGAACGAAATATGAAATAAGATGATCCCGGCATAAAAAGTATCTTATATGTTAATCCAGAACATATACTATATCCGTGTGCCAAATTTAATCCAAATCCGCTCAGTCGTTTTAGCGAGATTGAGTCGTAAACATCTAAACATTCGAACTTTCACATTTATAATATTAGTAGAATTCAGTATGTGATGTTTCTACACCTTTTTTTTATGTATAAGGTTTTATTTCCTTTAGAAACGAATTTGAATTTTGAATAAGAAATAAAACGGATTTCTTTAATTTGTTTAAAAGTAAACTGTATAATAATATTAAATCATTTCATTTTACCTAATTGATTTTCGTTTTATACCTGTTTAGTTTTCATTTTCTATTTTTACTATCGTATAGTTTACACATAGTATACTAATATGCATCATGATATTATCATATTATTATTTATAAACTGATGACAGAGGCAGAGTTAATCGATATTCAATAACCGTTTATTAATATTAAATTCGTGCTGCAATGGGTATAGAATATCGATTACTATATTGTATTAAGCCAATGCGATCCGACGGTTATTCGTTCCGATTTATCGCTACTATTCGTTCTGATTTATCGGCACAGTATTATTGTACGAGGATTTTTTTTCTTGTTTTATTCTGTATTGGTGCTTCTTGGAATTTGTTTTTAAACCGTACGGTTTTAGAACTCGCTTTGAATATATAAACAAATGCAGTACCTTGACATGATTATTCGAAAAATTGAACATCATAATATATATAATGTACACAGTCTGATTTAGGGACGAAATACCAACCCCCTAAAATAATAATTATCGTACATAATAATCGACCATTTTGAAAATGTAATATAGTTAGTAAATCTCGAGTGTGTTATGTGGTTTTAGCCAGAGATATTATACCTATATAACTTGTCTCGGTCATCATCGTTTGTATAATCTCCACTCAGTCTACCACTGTGGTATTTTAATCCGACCTATTACTCGTCTATATGCGTATATAAAATAAATCGTAAATAATTTACGAAAGTGTTTTGCTCAAGTAAATTTAACGTAAATCGCCTCGAACAGTGTATAAATTATATTATTCATTTTTTATTTTATTTTTTTGCTTTGTTTTTATTATTTTTTTTTAAAGTTAATAACCTGCGGTTTTTCAGTATATCTACGTATAGGTGTATTATAATATACACTATTGTAACTCGCGAACAATGAACAGAGTCATTTGGATCGGATAAATTCGACATAATAAATATTATAAAAATTATTGGCATGTGTGTGTATATAAACTCTTTGGTTTATTTTTATTCTTTACGTTTTTTTGGCGCCTCGTTTGTCGTATCAACCTGTTTGATCTATAATTTAAGGAAAAAAAAACAATCGGAACAAAACAAAACGATTGTTTTTTTTTCTTTTTGTTATAGCAACCGTTTACGAGGGTATCTGCAAATCCGTAGACAAAACACACCTGATATTATTACTGACGGTTTATTAAAAAATACGTATACGGCCCTCACCTTGATAGTTGATTGTCTACGTGTGGCTTTTGAAATCGCTCGGGAATCGAATTACTGCTCGATCAGCCTTGTTGTGGTGGCTATACGCACTCCTACGATCCTTCTGCAGCGGACCCGCGGAGCCGTATATACCTACCTTTCTCAGAATGCCCGACCAGCTCTTTGACGAAAAAAATCGAATTGAACGAACAAAAAAAAAACAACTAAATATTTAAGAACCGAACTCCCAAGTGTCATTTCGCACAATTACGTCATTTTTCACAATAAATTTAGCGTGAATGAAAACAAAAAAAAAAATCATCATATACACAAACTGCCATCCTCGTAACAAACATTATAATAATAATAATAATAATACGTGTCTGCTGCCGCGCGTTAATAATTCAATTGAAAAATAAACGTAAACTCACATTATGAGTATTTATAGCTATCATGGCAGTAATATATGTATATGGTTATTCTAATGTCATATTAGATTCTGAGTGCATCGAGGAATGTATTTATTTGATTATAGGTGCTCTTTTTTCTGTCAGTTAACAAATTTTGTACCAGAAATAATGCACCGATTTTCGATCGTACTATGAAAGTAAATTTTATCTAAATAATATACACTGAGAAGGACGTTTATGATTTCTCTTTTAGTTTTCTAGAAAACATATAAATAAACAGGAAAATTTACAGAAATAACGGTTTGATTATTTTCAATTTTGTTTTATTGTTTTGATTATCAACTACCAATAATTGTCTCGGGAGGGGGAGGGAAAAATTAAAATGTAATAGGAAAAAAATCATAGTATTTTTTGATGAAAAACTTAAATTTCAGGGAGAGTTTAGGCTCCATGGATCCTCTCCTTGGCTATGTGCCTGAAAACAGATAAAAATATTTTTCATACAATTATATAATGTTACGTGCAAAAAGAGTTTTTATGACGGTATTTAAAAATATTAATTGTTCACACTTGCACATTTATCAATAAAAATTACGAATTAGGTAAGTAAAAGCAACACCATATATTGTACACGTTTGGGCCATGAAAAGGTTTTACTGGTGCGTGTACCTATATTCGTATAAACTTGTTGATATCTGATGTTTTTATACTACATGCTTTCATAAGTGCTTTTCCCCGTATTAATAATGTACTCTTAAGTTTGGTTTTTATTAAATATTAAAATCGTTTCATATAAAACTTATTTAGCGTACTTATTTGACCTTAAGTAATTAGTAATTGCATATCTAATAATTATACATATATATATTTATATATATATCTTTTAATAATTATTTCTGTTTTGTTTTAAATCGTATTATATTATACATGCTGGTCTTTAATTGATTTTATATTGTAATGTAATTTATAATGTTCTCGGAATTTTAGAATCGTGATAAAACAATTTTGAGAAAAACGTATCTTATTATAAGAATAACTACTTTTTATCTCACGGAAAGTTAATATTTTTGTAATAAAACGGTCGGTAATAAAAAAGGACATCGTAAGCTAATTACGTTTTACGTGTTTATTATTTTATTTAATTTTCGTCAGTTATTAAAAACTATACGATATTTTGGGTTTGAATTTATTTCCGTTTACTTTTTTTAATACATAGTTATAGCCTCTTTTTTGTGAAAAGTCGGGAAGGCTCGAAACATCGAGTTATTTAATCGTATTCGAATGAAACGTTTAACTATATTGTAATCGAAATACGATTCTGAGAGAAGCTTGGTTCTACGCGTGTTTCAAAATGCCGTAGTGAATCAACGTAATACATCAACATATAGGTCTCTTGTCATTTTTTAATTGAAGCAAAATATCTGGTTGAAAAATTACTTGAAAAAAAATCGCACTCGTATAGAAAAAACCATTGCATTCCTCGCTACGTTAGAATCTATTTAAGGGCATTATAAAGTAATGAATTCTTCGATGCGGTTGGAATAAAAAAAACAAGTTTTCTTTCTGTCGTAATCTATATAGAACGTTAGCTGTATATATGTACACGTACCTACTGCACTACGCGATAATAACGATGACGAGAGTCGGATAATTATTATTGTCTCCAAAGTTGTGATAAATGATGGACCCACGGGTGCATGTGTGTATGTGTGTGTATATACACGCGCACACACGCGTATAGAAAGTACGCGACAAAAGGCGGGCGGGCGTTTCGAGTATATTATATAGTAGTCGCGCGCGGGCGGGGTCGAAGATTTTTGTTAATTTCTCTCGACACCTCCGAGAGCACCGTAATGATCGATAGTCGCGGCCGAGTTATTTTTGTTGCCGCCCGGCCCGGCGCTCTCTCTGTGTGAAAAATTTCACTCGCGAGGAAAAAAAAACACACACACACACTCGCTCGCGTGCACACGCATTACCGCCGGCGCCTTCTCAAAAGACCCGTTGAGTGACAGACTGACGTACGGCCACTTAATGGCCGCGCCGTATACACAGGCCACCTGCCATTGCTATTATTAATATGCGCGTTTTCCCTTGTTTCCCGAAGAAACGCATTTTTCGTATATACACCTATATATATATCCAGTGTATACGTATATATCCCGAGTCACACACTATCGTCACGTCGTACGGCTTCCATGCCCGCGATCGCCGCGGACCCGATGAGGATTAAGAACGAAGACGAATCCCTTTTTGTGTGATGGTTGTTTTTTTTTTTTTTTGTTTCGTCGCAGCCACATTACCGGATCATTAACCGAGCTAAATACGTCTTTTATATATTAATCGCGTGTTAATATATTACGAAAAATAAGCAGGCGAGTTCCGGTCATAATAATAATATAGTTACACCGTTGAACAAGAAAAAAAAATAAAAATAATCATAATATTATTTAACATCGCGGTATTATCTGCAGATGTACATCGCACCGTATCATCATCGTCGTCAATAATAACATTTGTTTCGAGTCCGACGAAAATATTATTTATTACGCTTTTCTAGGTATTTTGTGTTATAATAATAATAATTATTATTATTTTTTATTTCGTATTATTCGTAAGTATAACTTAATGTTAACTATGTACATACACACACACGTTTCTAATTATTTTTTTTTTTTAATCGATCGTATACATATATAATGCATATTTCTTTTCTCTTTTTAATAATCGTCGTTTTTTTTTTATTCTTTAATTTTTTTTTTTTCCAATGGTTACATATTCAAACTGAAAAAAATAAAAATTACACAAACATTAAAATATTTAATGTTATTAGGTATAGGTATAAATATTGTTTTAAACTTAATTAGAATACCAGTACGTATTATTCTATATTACGATTTTTTTAATATTATGAATATTTATAGAAAAATATTATAATTTAGAAGCGTCATTCGGGGTTGGGCCTAAATATTTGTCTTTGTCTAACTTTTAGCCACATGGCTTAAGTCGGCATTTCAGTTGGTTTCTGGTTTTGTGGGTCTGGGGAAAAAAAAAACGTCAAAATAACGACAAATGATTGATATAGAGCGCGTAAATGATGAATCGATTGATATTATTTAGTAGCGGAAATGAACAGTTTAAATTATTGTAAATTTCAAAAAATAACATTTATCGATGTACTAATTTGTTCATAAAACATAATTTTGTAAATATAAAAAAAACTTAGTAGAAACTTAACAATTCATTATTAGTAAATATTTGTAACACCAAAATTGTACGTCGAAATATATTTATAAAACAGGTATATTACATTTATAAAAATAATTTTTTATTTTTAGTTTTAAAAAAAATATAAAATAGTAATATATAACACAAGGTTTTAGTAAAATTATTACCAGAAAAGAAAAATTTACAAATATTAAGTATAAAAAAACTTATTGCATTTTATTAGACATTCTGTAATATTTTCTTTGTACACCCTCACAGATAAGTGATTTGTGCTGGTCTAGTTTTCAACATTTTAGATTTTACGACTTTTAATGAAGATTGCTTGAACTGACTTTGAAATTAATATACAAGCATACCACATTTAAATTACACGAAAATAAAATGTAAATAGTTTTCTTTATTAAGTGTGAAAATCTTAGAAGACATTTTTTTTTTGTTGACTCTTGTAGGAGTCTCAGTAGGAAAATTTGGTAAGTTTCCCTCAGTCTACAAATTTACGCCTCTGCTATAATAGTGTAATATTCCTGTACGTACATTTTAAATTATTCTACTGTAATAGCACTATATTAATAGTAGTGTAACGTTTGATTTTGTTGAATATAATAAATAATTGTATAGAAGTATAATAATAATACAATACAGATTTTATCTGCAGGATTTGAAAATTCCAATTGTATTAATAATCTTGAATAGTGCGCTGTGTAATTTTTGAATGGATGTTTTACGCGATGGAAAATCGAGTAAACACATTTACTTCTTTAGATTCTGTAATGAAACTCTTTACGGTATAAACGCTGACTTAAGCTCGTAAACGACGACCACACACGTTTTGTAAATCAATACCATCCACTAAAAAGTATCATATATATATGTATATGTGTGATACTTTGCTTTACGATGTATAATAATAATAAATATTATTATTATTATTATTAGCGGTTCTGAAATTCATCGAACAATGTCGTTTAGGTGCGACGCATAATTAACGACTTGGCAAATAATTTTTGTATAAATTAAATTTTATATAGTGTTGCTCAAACTTCAGTTATTATTATATTTTATAATTAAAAGTAAAACGCATGACTATTAAATGGTATAAACATTTTAATTTGTATAGTCTAGAATTTTAGATGATAGATAATGATGGTGATAACTGATACATGTATTTTGAATAGAATATTATATAGACATTTGGCTATTTTAAACAAAATATAACCTTTAGTCGCGTAAAATCAAACAAAAGCCAAAACAATTTTTTTTTATGGGAGGAGGCTTTGCCGCCGTCATATTGAATAATATTAAATATATATATATGTACATCACGTTTTAAGATGAAGCCGATTTTTGAGATATTAAACCACCCAACCCCTCTTATATTTGTGCCAATGCTAAACAGTATTATATGAGTTTGGTTTTCTTAAAAAAAAATTTTTTGATCTCTAACCATCTCTTTCCCCTTCCTAAATGTCCATCGTCATGGTTCCGCATATGCTCGAGCAGGTGAGTGAACATAAAAAAAAAAATGAAGAAACGGGTTGATGTCATTGGTGTTGTTCGGGGTGAAGGAACCATTCTATATACGGTACATGTTTATATTATATATATATATATGTATACATGTGTGTGTGTGTATAGATATAGTTTTTAATGTGGGTTTTATTGATCTCGACATTTGTCGGGCGCCGACACGACGACCCCTTATTTTCTTTTTTTTACCTGTACACTTTATATACAGCCTCCGAGAATATCTTGCAATATGATGCGGAATCTCGACGTCAGTTATATGCAGTGCAGGATGTCGATGAAAAATCATTGTTCTCAAAAAAAAAAAAAAAATTGTATTTTATCTTTATATATTTTCTTTATTCGTGTTTAAACTAAATCTATCATATCTCGCGTGAATACTTGGAACAAACTAGGTCATTAAATCTTTTTATTTGAGGATTATTTCAGTAATTAGTTTTACATCGTAATCATATTATTTAAAGAATAATATTCCTATAGAATCTACGGAAATTTGAACGCTTTTTCTTTAGTTTGTTATTTATGGTTTTCTGTTGTTATTTTATATTTAATAATAATCATTTAAATTTTTTAGGAGGTTTTTATCAGGTTTTTAACAGCAATTGAATTAAAATAATTTATTATAATTCAATGGTGTTTGAAGAATGTCGTATCAATAATAATAATACAAAACACGATAAAAAAAAAATAAATATGACGTTTACGATGAGTAATCTCAATTCGTATTATAGTCACTTTTAGTTCACCGAAACGGTTAATTATTAATTTGTTATTTTCGCGTCTGACACGTGAGTCCCGGCTCCTTCTATACTTTTGATTGACTTAACATGGGAGTTTTCACGCATTATATAATATCAATTTACGTTTAGTGTAACTATTCGGGTGTCATTACCGCAGTAGAAATTATCATAAATTTATTACTTAATGTAGTGAATAGCCTAAAATACACGTGATAAAATAATATTAATAGTGAATATCGTTGAATTTTCAATGCATTTTACCCTGGGAAGTCTTCGTAATAATATTATACTGGAGTTGTTATACGAGTTTTTACCACAGAACAAATATTATTTTGAAATAATCCGAATTATTATTATTATTATTTTGCGAATGTATGTCAAACGTTGTATAGATATATATTATGTCTTCGATTTATGACTATGTATAATAATATACTTATATTATGTTCAATTTAATTTCGTTGTTTTCTGCATACGATACACATCACTATATTGTCAATATTTGCGTATGTTTGATCGCGATCAAAAAAAAAAAAAGTAGTTAAGTACCTATACTATAATATCTATTCGTAAAATATCGACCGTCACCAGCCTCATATATAAAATGAATATATACTCTGATACCGCTTGTGTATAATTGGCGAATTTTTTTTTCTTCTCGTTCGCATTCATTTTACGTCCCAACGGTTTTCGATTGCGATTATAGGTATACGTTGAAAAAAAAAAAAGATTATAAATAAAAATATTGCTCCCGGAGATTTACATATACAAAGCAGCGGTTCAGTTGCAGGCCCACATGTATTATATACGGAAAGCGTGTGTGTGTGCGCGCGTACATATAAACTACAGCGAGTACGAGTGAGACGGAGAGAGTGCGTGCGTGTGTGTGTGTGTGTGTGTGTGCGCGTGTGTGCGAGAGAGAGAGGGTGACGTGTAATTTATTGTAAAGTCCACCCCATGCAGTATATGTGCCATTGTCACTGTATAGGGCCCCCGCTCGCTTTTCGGGGGAGTCCGGCGGCGGCGGCGGCGGCGGCGGCAGAGTGTCACACGTGTGGCGGCGACGTCGTCGTCGTCGTCGGGTGACAATTGTCCAGGTGTGCCGTCGACCGACCGGCGGCGGTCCGCCGCCGCCGCCGTCGACGCACACAATGGGTCCAGCCGGCGTGTATAATATACAGCAATAACTGTTGTCGTTGTACCAACGCCCCGCGCGTACACACGCGCACAATAATAATAATATAATATATATAATGCCGAAGGGTTGCGTTCGCCAAAAACCGTCGTCCCTTTCCCGCGTCCCCTGTTTTCGCGGTCCCAACGCTCGTCGCGGTGTGGCTGCACACGTATACTATTATACTCATATGTATATAATATATACCTACACGTATACCTACGCGTGCGCCCGTATATATATATATATATATTTATATGATAATGAGATTTGGATTTGTCAAAAATCGATACACGTTCGGGGGTGCGGCGGCCCCGCGTGTGCACCTCAGGTTTACTTTTTTCGTTTATCCCCTTACCCCTTACCCCTTAGACCGACCGCCTGCCAGCCCCCCCCCTCCTCCCAAACTCGGGAACCGCCGCTGGTCCCTTCGCACGACGATTTTCCGTCTCGTCAAACGCGTGCGATGTAGATCGATTAAAGATCACGCGCGCACTTTGGTAAATTTATTCCGTCCCGTCGCGCGAATACGTCGCGCACTATACCCGCGCCAACCGTGTTTCGTATATACGACGCGAGAAAAAAAAAAAAGGTGGTTTTTCGTTAGAAAATATTTTGCAACGTTATTTTTTTATAAGGGCGTAAAAAAAAAGAACGTTCGAAATCCTAATAATTCGAGCGTTTATTACCGTGTGTAACGCCGGTGCGACACGGATTATAACGCAATATTTATTTCGTATACTAATCTACCTAATAACACACACGGGCGCCGACTGTATAAGTACCAAACTGATTTTAATAAATCTAAGTAAAAACAATAATCGGGGAACTTTTAAAGTATTGTAGATACAGGTTAATATTGTTTACGCGCAGAAAGCTACGATAAATCATTGCAATCAAAAAACGATTTTGAGTATTAGTTGTAGTTTATTGAAATATTCGCCGAAAAAACAGATCTTAGCATAATGATTATAACAGCTAACTTCTTCACTATACATTGTATAACAAAATCTAAATTTGTATTTAAATCATTAATCTAGTGTTACGATAGATAAAACCTTTTTCATCGTGTCCGTTATTAATTTTCGAAATTTTTATCAAACCGTGAAATGAAACGATCAATTAGTTTTGAGAAAGGTTTTTTTTTGAAATAAACAACTTTATAAAAATACGATTTTTTCATATTTGTAAATACTAAAACGTAGGAACGAATTGATAAAAGGGAAATAATTTATTGTTTAACTTTTCGATTTTTGATAAATTACATTTTCAAGCGTACACATTTTGTTGTTGATTAAAAAGAAGCGCTATTTTTAAATTGAACCATTTTATTTGTAGTTTTTATAAAACGCGTTTACTGTATAAAAAAAAAATAAAAATAATAACAAATGTATTAATAATTTGCAGAAAGACTGTAGCATGTCAAAATATTATTTAGATGAAGCTAATTTTTTTTATTTAGTCGACTTATTTTTATGTAAATGATTGATTGAATCTGTGAATACCTATTACATAGGTACATTTCTCGGGTTTATTTTTAAAGTTCGAACTTTATCGGTGAAACATTTTTGTTTTATTTTTTTTTCACATTAATCTGGGATTATATAAAAAAAAAAAAAAAAAACCGGGAGAGAAAAACGAATAATATGTATATATACACTTACCTATTCGGTTACTTTTTAACCTTTTATCGTTTCACGCTAAAATATCAATTTACGAAAATAAACGGAAACATACCATGTATATACATAGGCTGATTGGATATTCGTTCGCCTTATTTTTTCTCTTTTTTTATACGATCGTTGCGTATACGTTTTGTTATAATTATTATGTAATATAAAATGAAGCGCATGCGTTTTTCCCGCTCACTCTCGCTGTTCCGCATTCTGTCACCCGCCGTTATACTCTCGTATTCCGCACGCTGTTCGGCGCACGTGGAAAATGGCGCGGTTTTAAATCCCTTTGCCCGCGCGCGCACGCTGCACCGTCCGCGGCGCGGTGGTTTTAATAGACCCCGTCGCCCGGCGGCCGGTGACGGTAGTTTTATATAAGTGACGTCCCGTGTAGCGGACAGGTTAAATCCTTCACGTGTGACGCCTTCTATTAATTACCGCGCGATACATTTTATTATAGACGGCGTCGACCGTATATACGTGTCTTTATATGCATGTGTGATTGCGCGTTTGTGTGTGTGTGTGTGTGCCGAGTGAGAGCGTCTAACGCGCTAAAAATAATATTCGATTTGGTCGGTCGCGGCGGGCGGACGGGCGCGGACGATCACCAGGGTCATAATATTATAATGAACGGCCGTCTCGGTTTCCGAGAGACTTCGGTGCACAATCACGGAAATTCGTTCGACAATAAATTCGGAAATTCGCGGTTCCGAAAACGCCGTTTGCTAATCTTGTTTCGGTGGCGGCCGCAATATTTCTTACGATATACGGTATCCCGCGTCTGACCATAGATTCGTGCTTTGCGAGGTTCGTCGGGATTAATTTTTCGACCGCGGACAATATTTTCGACGAGTTTTTTTTTTCTTCCCTCCCCCCCTCCTTACCACCGAACGTTCTATAAACGATCTTTAAGGTTTTTATACGCTTGCCTGGCAGTGCTCCATGAAAATGAAACAAAAAAAAAAAAAACTCATTGAAATATATCCTCTTATTACGCTTATTAGTCAAATTACGAAAAGTTTTAATGTTTTTTTGAACATTGCAGCTGCACCGATAAACTATTTTTTTTCTTTCGTGCACGACTATGTATTTTTGTTTTTAAGAAAGTGTAATGACGTGATTCCAACTATATTATAATACGCTCCTGGTAAACGCGGTAACGTTTGGTAATAGCCGGTGTAACGTACGTTGAGGTTTATTTAGTTTGTATATTTATTTATTTAGGTAATTATTTATTTTGTTAGTAATATGCTGAAAACAACAGCCATATGAATATTTTAAAATTAGGTTTTATTGTATGTGTTTATGCGTTCATTAGTGTTTAATTTACTGATTCGAATTTAATTTTTGGCACAAATTACGTAATGTATAAAATACCTTTGAAAACTTTTAAAACATATTCATCGAAATACTACTCTACAGTGTTTCATTTATTTGAAAATCAAACTAGAGGGAGGGGAAATGTCTTCATCCGAGTTATCCAAAACGTATGTTGAATTTGTTGACAAATGTTACTTAAAATAATTATACTTATACTTATAATGGTTGCACACTTTACAACTATATTAAATTAAATTTCCCAAGATTTTGTTTTGTTTATTCCGTACATTTTTAATTTTGGCCCATAGTCCAGTAACGTTTACGCGGACATCGTGGGCACAGAAACAAAAAAAAAAAAAAAAAAAAAAAAACGAATAATAATAACATTATTGTAGGAAAGATTTAAATATAAATGACCTAATATATCATTATGTTCCTACGAATAAAAAACACATGAATAATACTTATAGGCAGCATGTTTTAATCATAGTTTTATTTGTTTTTTTTAACATGTATAATTTATATTTACGTATTCGATTTTATTTGAACATCTGTTTTATATTCGAAAATTTTGTGAAATTTTTTATTTAAATTTATTTGTAAATTTCTTAAGATTCGGAGTGGAATAAATTTGGCGTTGGTTTTAAAATATTTATTTAATTCGTTTTTTAAAATCGGTTTGGAGGTTGTTAAAATTACTCTAACAATTTACAGAAATATATGTATTCGATTTTTCTTTGCACAATTTTTAATACCTGCAGTACATTTCGTAGGGAATTATAAATATTTGCATATGGGTATCAGCTATTTGCACTCATTATATATTAGTTTTTTTTTTTTTCTAATTGTGATGATAAAGAATTTAATTTCAAATAAGAAAAAAAAACACGTCCAACTACAATCTAAACCCAATGAACATGAATACGTAATTGTATATGCTTGTATAGTTTAAACCGTTTTATTTTCAAAAAATAGTTGTATTACCTTGACATATATTGATTTATGCATAAGCAATTTTACAAAGTAGGTATAATGCATAGTAATATTATTAGCTATAATTATATTATAAAAGCTAAAACAGTTTTCATAACTTGTGAGTTAAATTATATTTCGTATATGCTTATAATAAAATAAATAATTGCTCAAACGCATTTAAACGGTTATTCACTCATAACTATTATAAAATAATAATGCAATTTAGTCAATAATCCTAACCAAAAAGAAAGAATTCGCGGATGAAACGATAACTTATTTATTTTATGCGAACATTCGTGTACCGAATTTACTTTTATTGATGATTTAAATATAAATTAAACCTATTATTACCTATTACGATAAAGTGGTAAAGTAATTCGAGAGCTCAATTTAAAGAATATCAGTCATCAGTACCTATATTAAAACCATATAAATCAGGGGTGTTCAATCTTTTGTGAAGACTGGGCCACACCATGTAAACAGAAGTTGTTGTGGGCCACATACATTTTATTTATAATTTTTACCATAGTGAATAATGAGTAGAATATTTTGACGAGCTATTACATTTTATTTATAATTACAAGAAAAATTATATTAATTTATGATTAAAAGAAAACCATTTTAAAATAATTGTATTTATAATTGTTATTTTAGTTACATTAGTTTTTTTTATTGCTATTGGATTTCAATAAAGATAAAACTTTCATATTATAGTATATACTGTTAAGTAATATTTAAATTTTTTCTTTAAATATTATACATAATTAATTGATGATTTTAAATTAAAGTGAGGGCCATATTTAAATCTACCGTGGGCCGCATGCGGTCCGCGAGCCGCGGGTTAAACACCCCTGATATAAACAATTATATTAATTTCTATGTTGTGTAAATATGACGGTATTATTCAAGAATTTAGTGATTATAATACTCATATAAATTTCATATAAAACGTTTTTAAGTATTATTAGTGTATAAGCTTAGACTGTTTAATAGATTAAAATATGTTTGTTTATTCTGTCTTTCGGATATTTAAAAATAATATTTTGTTAAATTAAACTGAAGTCTAATAACACGTCATTCGCAATTATCATTTTTATTTTTGCACACCTTGAAACTCAAACATAATAAGTGTTCTCGAACTACTTCCGGGGTTGTTTATTCGCTGTACGAGTTTAAGTTGTACTTTCCGCGAGACAAAAACATTTTTTTTTGTACTACATTCAATATTATTATAATAATACACGGTGAAAAAATGAGGATGGGTTTTGTTTATCGACAACATATTAATTTATTATTGTTTGCACTTTTTTTTTAGAATTTGATTGATTTCAAAGTATGCAGTTTTTAAAAATGACTGCTTCAATAACACGATTTTGATAAAAAAATAAAATAAAATAAAACTTGCTCTAAAACTTCGTGAGAAGTTTCGGGTAATAACATTTGGAATCGTGTTGATACTACATTAGGGAGATAATTTCTTTTAGAACCCTTCATACTCTTTTGAATAGAGAATAATGAAATAACTTAATAACCGGTTAGAAAAACTATTTCGGCTATTTTTGTGCCGTTTACATTTAACGTTTATTTATGTTTATTTTAAGTTTTTCAAACAATTAAACAATTTAGTTTAATCAATATTTGGCGTTTGTACATTTATTTTCTAATATTATAATGTCATTTGTCGGATTTTTCCAAATAGCGATAAGTAAAAACAATCCGAGATATGAAATGAGAATCGATGTTATTCCACGGCGAAAATAATGAACGATAATGTCGCGTCGACGCGTCACGACATGAAAACGTGAATTATACTATCCGGGGCTCGCTGCCAGATCAACAGCCCCGGGACCGTGGTCTCCGCGTCCTCAGGTCGGTAAAGACGGAACCAAGCTGTCCGTTAGGCCGTCGAAAAACGGTCACCGCCGAATCCGACGCGACAAACGTTAACGTCGTATGTACGCACATATACCGAAAACACAAATATTATGTTATTAAATGACGGGGGGGGTTGTGGAGGAGGCAGGGGTGGAGAATACGTCTAATAAATCGTCTTCGTTGACACGAATTCGGTTCGCTGCAGTCGTACCCGTATTATTATTATTATTATAATGATCGCGTCGTATAAAGGGTCGTCGTCGTCGTCGCCGTCGCGCGATACGACGTAATGGCGGCGCATTGGCTATACGCGGCGGCGGCGGCGGCGATGATGAATTCACCGGCACACCTGAGGCGGGCGGCCGTGTGTCCTCCCTCTATGTATATACGTATGTATATATATATATATATATACATACCTATACACGTCGTGTACACCGGTAAGGTCCGGCCTCGGTATCGATTCGACCTGTACGGCGCCCCCTTGAGTGTTGCCCTTCTCCGCCGTCTCCGCCGCCTCTCGGTATCGGTTTCCGACGCTCCGGCTGCACGGAGGTGGCGGCGGCGTCGGGAAAGGTATTACGGCCGCCAGGTAAACACCACCGCCGCCACCGCCGCCAGCCCGCTTCCCCGCCGTTTATCTCCCTCGCCACCCTCTCCCGCAAGTCACCGATTTCTCCTCTTCACCGCGGCCGCGCCGATCCTGAGGCGCCGTCTGTTACTCACTCGGCTCCGTAGCGCGCGAAATGCGTAACGCACATATATATGTATATATGTATTTGTAGGTATACTCGTGTGTATATATATATATATGTACATACACACACACATATATATATAAACGTATATATTATAAAACAGTCATACTCACACGCGCGCGCAATCGACAACACGTGTACGTGACCGGTGCGGTATAGAGGGTTAGCCTTATATAGCGAACATGTACGGCGACGACGACGGCGTAGGCGCGCAAGAGTCGCGATCGTCGTCACACGGTATTATCGAACGCGTATTCGGAATCGTTTACAGTCGAACATTTTCATTTATACGTATTATTGTTAATCGGTGGGGTAGGAAAAAAAAACGAGTACGGACGCTGATGTTTTTCTAGTTTAGAAACAATAATTTTGTGCATATGAGAGGGGGGAGGTTTTGCGATCACACGCCATAATGTAAATTAAACAATTATTTTTACAAGAAACAAAAAAAAAAAAAAATGTATTAGACGCCTTGCTATTAATCAAACTATAATATTATTATTAAATCAAATAAAATCCATACGCAAACTAAATAGTTATAATACAATGCAATGCAATATACGCAATATCTCTCTTGGATTTATACCTAACTTCTCTAAGCACGCTTGTGGTAAAGGCAGGGGGTTAAAAAATTGCTTCATATAATAATACATTAACACCTCCATTAAATCCACTTTATTAAAAACATTAGATTTTAGGTGGTTTTCTGGTTGTTGGATCAGATAAAAGTGTTTGGAACATAAGACGGTTGAAAATCTAACAACGTCAATCCTCGTTAATAAGAGTATAGTAATAAAAATCTTATGAAACGTTTTTCACTTGTTTTCCTAAATTTAAAAGCCAGAGATTAACCGAATTTTAATTTTTGACAATAATAATAAATTCGCTAAATAAAGAATAAAGTGGCACTTTTTTGATATTATCGGTTTATGTTTTGTGATAAAAAAAAAACAAAAAAACACTAATTATGAATACGTATATACGTACCTATTCTTATTATGTGTTATACATTAATACCAAAAATTATAAAGTAAGATTTTGTTTTGAGATTGAGAAGGGCATCGCTCCCGTACCCCTCTTTTTATCCATACCTATGTATCCTCCTATGATTGTATTTTAAAAACTTAACGCCTATGAAAGTCGATGTACAAATAAAAATAGACTACTTCTTTTATGAAAGCGTCTCTAGCGTCTCCGGATTAATTAAACGAAGTGGTACGCTAAAATCTATGAAAAAATGAAAGCGGATTATAATATTAATTGACGTAGGGTAAATTTAATTATGAACTGGAAATTTTCACCTCCGACCACCCTGTAATATATCGAAATCAGAAGTAATGTAGCGTATTTTGTTAGACCGTTATTGTGTGAACTGCGACAAAAAAAAATATTTATTATTAATATTATTATTACGCTCATCATAATTAGTTTTAATTTTGTGAAAACGATTTCGGAATAAATTATATTTCGTACCTATATATAGTTTGAAAACTTGTTATATAAATTGAATCATTAAAGATACCTAGTTGACTTTGCTATAAGAATAATTAATTTTGTTGTATTTTTATTATTATTATAATTACGTCATTCGTATAACCTCTTGTTTAGTAGATACTTTTCTCAAACTTTTATCAATAACATCAAACCAAAACTGTAATTGGAAATTTTTTTTAGAGCGTTTTTTTTTTTTTGTTTGTGAATTGTTTCTTGAATCGAAAAACACTTTAGAAGTTGTATAGTGATGTGTTAATTTTTGTTCTTAGTTATCACTTATTTTATAAAAATCACTCAAGTTTCACGTGCGATAACTTTATTGAAAGAAAATTGTGGTTTATAAATGATAAATATTAGATTGTTTTATTTTAATTTACCAGTTTACAGTGCGTGAAAAATTAAAAAAATAGAAAAAAGAATATAAC